ATATTTATATTTTATCTTTCCACTCATGTGCCCTTTCAGATCAAATCTTGGTCCCATCACTTGCTCTGAGGCCACTTTATCGGTCACGGTGAAACATTTTGGGAATATGTGCCTGAAATATCAAAGCGTACACAAGAATCTAATTTGTAATGGAAATTCAGTTCCTTCTTTAATGACTTAATGCCTTTAATGGGTCAACACGTTTCAAACAGTCAGACTCGTTTAACTGATTTTATTGGCCCTGCTGCCTTTTTTCCCTCTCATATTTAAATACGAGCACTAATTTGGGTGTCAAATTGGTTCATTTGGATGTAGACAAAGTGCGTGGAAAATGTTTTAATTATAAAAACAAAGTTTGTGCGCCTAACATTTGCTGCTGAATGACATCACTTTTTGTGTTGTTTAGTTAGATGTAGTAAATATAAACTCACTAAGCTGTCATGTTTGATTATCATTTATTATTATTATTTTATGGGTGATGATGTGGTTTTGCTTGCGTCTGTGATGTGAGCGAGCGTTTTCTTTAATTTGTCCATCCGTTCATGCGTTATTTTTACCTGCTTCTTCCTTTCTGGGTTGTGGATGCCACATCCAGCAGACGCTGTGCGAAAGGCGTGGGGGACACCCTGAACAGGTCCAAGTCCATCACTTGGACACATGGAGACAAGCAACCATTCACTCTCTCACTCACACCTAGGGACAATTTAGAGTTACCAATCAGCCTAACATGAATGTTTTGGACAGTAAATCGGAGAACCCAGAGAAAACCCACGCATGCACGGAGAGAACATGCAAACTCCACCCAGATAACACCCCAGCTGAGATTCGATCAACCAGCGTTCTCGTTGAGAGGCGACAAATTACCAGTTGTGCCACCTAGTTTGTAAAATAGCTGAAAATCTTAAAATAAAAAAATAAATTAAAAAAAACATGGTGTGCACATTTACAAATGATTAACTTTCAGGTTCAAACTTATTTAAGATGGCTGCCGAAGCTAATCGACCTTAGCCAGCACAGAAACAGCTACAATTTATTCAGTTTGACAAATATTGAGCCAAACTTGGTTAAATATTTATTTAAAGCTCCAGGATTAACTGTAGGTGTCAACTTGGTCTGTTAGCAAAATATCTCATGAGCAACTCAAAAGATTTGAACAAGACTGAAGTAATAGCTGAAAAGACATCCACAACTGATTAACTTTTTAAAGTTAGCCACTGCTGATAAAATTACTGGTAACTGTACTGAACTGCACTATGGTAGGGAAGTAGCTGTCATTCATAAGAAATACTTCAAAATGCTAGTAGATCACACAAGTGCCCAGAACACTGGACGAGCGTGTGCAATTGATAAGATTTGACCAACATGGCTGCAACTGTCTCAACATCGTGAAAGACTGGGGGTGATTTTGAATCAAGCAAAGCTAGGCCTTTAATTGAAATTACTGGGTAAATCTAATTTGTTTTACATAATTTACTGACAATAATAAGTTTATAGCTTTGTCGTTTACTCTTTTTTAAAATGCATTGTAGTGTTGTGCAATCTCGATCCAATTTGGGTCAGAATCGCCTCTTGCTTGTTTCTTCCTCTTTAATAAAACTGAATTGTCAGTTTACACTCCTCTCCCTGCAGCCTCGGCTCTGCTGGCTGCAGCCTCCGCCAGCTGTCTCCTCCAAGCGGGGGATCGTCTGGCACGCTGCACCCAAGATGCACCCCTCGTACCCCGGTTGGAGTTGGACTGAAGGCAAGAATGGGGGGTGGAATGGAGGGGTGAGATGGCTCTGACTGGGTCTTATCCACCCCTGACTCAGCTCCTCGTCTCGCTCTTACACACACGCACACACACACACACACAGCCAAGCGTCTCCTCTCTCTCTCTTTCTCTCATTCATACTCTTAGGAGGCAGAGACGCCAATGAGATGTGGGGAGGGAGGGGTGATGGCTATGGTGCTGTCAAGCAGTGGTAATCTGACTGGATTACCAACCAGGTGGAAAGATTCAGCCTACCCCCCACCCCACCCCCACTACTCTATCCCACCCCTCTTCCTCCTCCATCTCTGCTTCATCATTACTCATCATGTCATCGCTTTTCTTCTCCATCTTTATGGGACTTTGCTCGTCTTACAGCACAACGACGAGACGCGTCTGCGTTAACCGCGCACCTTTTCGCCTGTTCAGATTCCACAAACATGCACTCATATACTGAACACACACACGGCGTGCACGAGGTAGGAGGGGTGAAGGGGTGTGTCGGTGATGTTGCTGTGACAATCAAAGCTGAGGAGAGATTTCCCTGCAGGGCCATGATGGTGAAGGGACATGCAGCTTTACACATTGTTCAGCAAGAGGACAGTCAGAATTTAAATGCAGGAGCTTTGACTAACAAGAATGAAAGAAAAGAGGAGGAGAATCGAAGAGGGTGGGAGTGTATCTAGTCTAACAAAACATTATGGTTTATTACATTTTCAATGCACAAAACACGATGATGGAAGCCCTTCGGAGTCTGCGAGGGAGTGTGTGTGCAGCTGTGCGTGTGCGCGCCGCTTAATGTGAATGTAAACTCTTTCCGTCTGCAAGATTAGGTTACACACAAACACACACTCTCCCACATACACAACTGTGTAAACAAAAACCGTCTGCTGTCTGGGAAGTAACACACCTGTTCAATGACAAGCGCAGCCACGCCCTCCACGATACTGCACACCTGTGCTACTGCGGGCTAAACCTTACCCTAATCTCTCACACACACACACACACACACTTGCACAACTGATGGCCAGGGGCTAGCATCACAGAACGAGGGAAGAAAAAGGAAGGACAGAAAAGTGTTGAAAATGGGACGAAAGGGAGCAAGACAGACGGACGGACAAGCACAAAGGATGTCCCACTGCTCCTATCTAAATGCCTGGATATCATTGTGGGCTCTTATCAAACGTGTGTGTGTGTGTGGGGGGGGGGGGTCTTATGGTATGCGTCTGTCATTCCACCACTTTGTCAAGAGAAGCCATATTCAAGCAGACACCACGCTGATCTAAATAAGAGGCTTCAGTGTATTGATGGATTGCAGGTTTTCTGGGCTATGAAGAAACAAGAGAATGAGGGGGGGAGGGGGGGTTTCATTTTTATTATTTCTTTCTGTGAATTTCTGTAAGCGATCCACTCGGTCTGGTTGGTGACTGTAAAAAGCATCAAGCCATAAATCAGAGACCCTCCAGTTCCTCTACGGCCAGTTTTACATCGACCCCCTGCGCCGAGGCCTAGAGCCGGTGTACAGCTCTACGTATCTCTAAAGAGGGCGGGGAGGGGGGGCAAGGACAAAGGTACCCCCCACTCAACCTCCCAACACACACACACACCTCCCAACCCCCATTGCAAAAACAACAATCTTCTGTGCCCATCATGTCAGTCAAAACCCCATCAGGGACATGCATGGAGAGTCTGGATATCTGGAATCTCAATCCAGGGTCATCCACCTTCAGACCCACTGAGAGCCCCTCCTGAATATATTTTAATAACATTATCACCTTAAATTACAATGCACCCCCCCATACACACACATCCTTTAGCATGTCAGAATCATTTTTAAATTGGACTATAACGCACGTCACTGTGCAACAACACTCAAAGAAGGTGTTTCCAGCACGAATGAGCATTCGTGCCATAAACGTCCTTTTTAGTGAGACATTTTCAGGTAAATTTAAACAAAACAAACAGCTGGATATTTAATAAAAATGAATTATAAAAATAAAATAAATCAATCCCAGTTTATTGACTCTAAACCATTTACAATATGGAATGAGTTAAAGCTGTAATTATGTGAATTGTTGAATTAAAAACGCTGTTCAGAAACATTACCTTTCAAACGCTGCATTCATACACGTGCTAGAGTTCAGTGCTATAATTAAATTCATCAAAACATACAATTAAACTGTGATGTAATGTATTTATTTTATCCAGGTCCTGTCTTTGAAAGCAGTAAAGGCCTGAGCGAGACAGAGCGGACTTTTTTTTGTAAATATTTTTAAAAACCAGAGCAAATAAGACCAAAAAAAAAAAAAAACTTCAGTGTTTGTTTGTTTTTTAATTGTTGAAAAAAAGAAAATTAAGTAAACAGAAGAAAGCAGACACAAAGACTACTTTCAAAATGACAATAGGACAAATTATAAATATATTAATTATTTAATTTAAAAATATATATACATTTTATATATGTATATATATTTATATATATACAATGCAAATCGCACACACATACACACACATATATGTATATGTGTATATATATATATATATATATATATATATATATATATATATATATATATCACACACATACACACACACGCACACACACCTCCCCTGTTGAGACAGGATACCAAAGCTACTTGTTAAATCTAATGCATGCACTGTCAACCCATTCGCACCCCGTCACGTCCCCGCTCAATATAGAAACCGGATTTTCTGGTATTACCCGCACCTCTATTAGTCAGACCCCCCCACCACTTGAATAAAACAACCTCCAAACCTCAGTTCGGGACCTGAACAGAACCTCCATATATGTAAAAGGCGTCACTGCGCGAACTCCTCGTCATGTTCTGCTGTTTAATTGAAATTAATTATATCAGATGGCAACGATTTACTAATTGATGAACCTGTATGACAAGATTATAACGCTTCATAACTCTTATTAGATGAAGCCAAATAATTCTGGAGAATTTAGCCTTTGGATTTAAATTATAAAGGTGATAATAAGAACCACAGGTTACATTTCAAGTTAATAGAATTTTGCAAAAGTGGTCATATTATGTGTTTTAGGCTACAGTTTCATGTGAGACGTGTTTGAGTTGTATAAATACAGCAAACAGCTTCAAAGAAGATGTCACAAAGCTCCTACAGATGTGCGTTTCTTTGCACGAGAAGCTTTAAAGTTGGCAGAATTTAAATAAATCAACACAACAGCAATTCACTGAAAGGAGTTTGGTAAAATGCACGAGACACCGACCTGTGTGCGGGCCCATGGAGAGGTGGGACGAGTAGTATTTCCCCGGCTGGAAGTGCGCGGGGTGCTGCACGGAGCGGTGGCCGCCCGGCGCCATCCGAGACGCGGCGCTGTGCACCAGCGCGCTCCGCTCCGTCAGGAGCGGGTGCGGGGGAGCGAAATCACGGCTCTCCATCCCGATGAGCTCGAGCCAATAAATCCCAAATCCAAAGGAAGAAGAGAGGTGAACAAATCCGTAGGCGCCGGAGATTCTTCACGCACCGACAAAACAAAAAGTAAAAAAAAAAACATATAATCCCTTTTCACGAACTTGGCGCTCGCCTCGCTCTGAGCGCAGCTCCGGCTGGAAACGGAGTCCCCGTCATGTCCTGCAGGAAGACAAGGAGCAGGCTGAGGGACGTTTACTGCTCAAGTTCACACACAAACAGCAAAACAACGACATTCTGTTAAAATCCAACACAAAACGCGGCTGAAAAAGAACTAAACATTTACATGTAAACCTGATGATTTGTGCCAGGAAGGTGCAGCCAGTTCTCTGCGCATGAAATCTAGCTCGTTGCCCCAACTGTGGACCTCCCTCTACACACACACGCACACACACTATTCTTTCTCCTCATATGACCATACACGATGCAAATCGTGCACACTGGAGCTTTCTTTATCAGCACAAAGAATGGAGAGAGAAAAGGGGGGGGGGGGGGGGGATTTGGCTCAGGTACAAACAATTGATTCAGATCCAGCACGGTGGTTCACGGCGGGTCAGAAAGCGTCTTTAAATGAAGCATGGTCCAGTCCAGGCTCAACAACAAGCTGGACCTCGGTGGGGTCATGCGCTAAAATGTTGGCCAGCTTTTGATTATTTTTTTTTTCCTTCCAATCCTGCACGAGAGCTGAAGTTGCAGACTCAAAGAATTGTTTTGATCAGTGCTTTTTATTCACTTTAGATCAACCTGATTAATGGATTTTCGAAGCGCAGCGTTAGATCTGGGCGCGTTGGGGGTGTTTTATTTAAATCAAATTAAAGCTGTTTTGTTTTCCTTCAGCGTCAAACATCAT